GGTCTCTGGATGGCTGCTCCCAGCGGCTCTTGGCAGCTCACATCGGCTGCCGGCCACACACACGGTAGCTTATGGCAGCCCACTGCAGCAGTGGCTGCAGCCTACGCTTTTGCCCGTGACTCAAGGCAGCCCAGCTCCAGGTCGAGCTGCTGTTCACCATCTTAGCTGTAGAGGGCAGTTTCACTGGCCCTCTTGTGGGATCCGAACCAGGGCCCTGCTGCTCAGAGCTGGCGTCCCAAGCCAGCTCTTAACCAACGTGCCACTCAGCCGGCCTGAAAATGACTCTTAATATTGTTTATTATCTTAAAACTTTTTTTACAGCTGATTTGTTTTACTCTGTTGTAGCAAATTATAATTGCCTTCTCCACTTGATTCTGCCTCATTAGTGTGCCTTTATTTGAAAGTTAAACTTTTTTTCATTCTCAATTTTTAAGTTAGAAAATAATTTAATTATAGTTAAAACAATAAGTATTTCAGTTTACTACCAATTGTGATTTACATAAGTATCACTGTAACTCATGTTATCTGCATAAAATATTCAAATAAACACATTGCAGTACTACACTATTGCATAGAAAAATTAACTGAATCATTTGGTTTACACAAACTAGACTGTGTATAATACTAGAAATACTGCTTAAGTATAATACTAGAAATGATATGCATCCATCATGTGCACTGCAGTACATCTTATTTGATATAATAATAAAAGTGAAATATAGTTTTGTCAAAACCATAAAGTTGTGTTTAATGGAAAAGTATTTTATACTGCTTTAGTTAAGTAAAATTTTGTATTAAAATTTTTAAAAATTAAAATTCCGTTCCTCAGTTGCATCAGCCACATTAGCACAGCTCTAGAATCTACAGCAACTTACTCACTTTAAAGATAAAAGTTCAGGCAACGGATTTGCCGCCAGAACACAGGTGTAGTGAAAACCACAGCTAAATCTAACCCAAAATGGGAAAGGAAAAGACACACATCAACATCGTTGTCATTGGACACGTAGATTCCGGCAAGTCTACCACTACTGGTCATCTGATCTACAAATGTGGTGGAATCGACAAAAGAACCATTGAAAAATTTGAGAAGGAGGCTGCTGAGATGGGAAAAGGCTCCTTCAAGTATGCCTGGGTCTTGGATAAACTGAAAGCTGAACGTGAGCATGGGATCACCATTGATATCTCCCTGTGGAAATTTGAGATCAGCAAGTATTATGTGACCATCATTGATCCCCCAGGACACAGAGACTTTATCAAAAACATGATTACAGGCACATTTCAGGCCGATTGTGCTGCCCTGACTGTTGCTGCTGGTGTCGGTGAATTTGAAGCAGGTATCTCCAAGAATGGGCAGACCCGTGAGCATGCCCTTCTGGCTTACACATTGGGTGTGAAACAACTAATTGTTGGTATCAACAAAATGGATTCCACTGAGCCGCCTTACAGCCAGAAGAGATACGAGGAAATCGTTAAGGAAGTCAGCACCTACATTAAGAAAATTGGCTACAACCCTGACACAGTAGCATTTGTGCCAATTTCTGGTTGGAATGGTGACAACATGCTGGAGCCAAGTGCTAATATGCCTTGGTTCAAGGGATGGAAAGTCATCCGTAAAGATGGCAGTGCCAGTGGAACCACGCTGCTTGAAGCTCTGGAATGCATCCTGCCACCAACTCGTCCAACTGACAGACCTTTGTGCTTGCCCCTCCAGGATGTCTGCAAAATTGGTGGTATTGGTACTGTCCCTGTGGGCCGTGTGGAGACTGGTGTTCTCAAATCCGGCATGGTGGTCACCTGCTCCTGTCAATGTTACAACTGAAGTCAAGTCTGTTGAAATGCACCATGAAGCTTTGAGTGAAGCTCTTCCTGGGACAACGTGGGCTTCAATGTTAAGAATGTGTCTGTCAAAGATGTTCGTTGTGGCAATGTAGCTGGTGACAGCAGAAATGACCCACCAATGGAGGCAGCTGGCTTCACTGCTCAGGTGATTATCCTGAACCATCCAGGCCAAATCAGTGCCGGATATGCACCTGTGCTTGATTGTCACACAGCTCACATTGCTTGCAAATTTGCAGAGCTGAAGGAGAAGATTGATCGTTGTTCAGGGAAAAAGCTGGAAGATGGCCCCAAGTTTTTGAAATCTGGTGATGCTGCCATCGTTGACATGGTTCCTGGCAAGCCCATGTGTGTTGAGAGCTTCTCTGACTACCCTCCCCTGGGCCATTTTGCTGTTTGTGACATGAGACAGACAGTCACTGTGGGTGTCATCAAAGCAGTGGACAAGAAGGCAGCTGGAGCTGGCAAGGTCACCAAGTCTGCCCAGAAAGCTCAGAAGGCTAAATGAATATTATCCCCAATACCGCCACCCTAGTCTTAATCAGTGGTAGAAGAACGGTCTCAGAACTGTTTGTCTCAATTGGTCATTTAAGTGTATTAGTAAAAGACTGGTTAATGATTACAATACATCGTAAAACCTTTAGAAGGAGAATGTTTGGTGGACCATTTGTTTTTTTGTGTGTGTGGCAGTTTTTGTTATTAGTTTTTTAAATCAGTACTTTTTAATGGAAACAACTTGACTAAAAATCTGTCACAGAAATTTTGAGACCCATTAAAACAAAGTTTAATGAGAAGAAAAAAAACCAAAAAGATAAAAGTTCAGAGAGATAAAGCAATTAAACCCAGTTAAGCCAGATTAGTTAGAATGGAACAATGCCAAAAATAAATCTAAATTACAATATATAAAAATGTTACTTTAAGACGTGAAGTTAATTTTATATCCCAGGCTGAATCCTTGTCACACCAAAAAGAATTACTTTAATAAGTAAAAAATCAATTATTTCATTTGAAACAGTTTGTTTCTTTAAACAAAGCAACCACTTTTTTTGTGTGGAGGTTAAGGGTTTCAGTTAGATGGTAGGGGCATCCAATTATGAAAGGTGATATAACTTTCATCTTAGACTTAATTTCCCAGATGAACAGTTGCATTTTGAGTTTTATTTTTTTGTTTTGAACTGAGTATTGCTTTATCTGAAATACATGCATAAATATATGCAAACATAAAATGAAAATGTAAGGAGGAATTAGAGTAACAATGCAATTTCCTTCTTCAGTGAATGCTTAAGGTTCATGGAGCAACCAAGCACCTTAAGCCCAAATTTAAACGGAGTAGACTTTACCTTCTTAACATTTATGTGGAGAGGAAGCAAAAAATTAAAACTTTTCATTTATTTAATTCCTTTACATATTTGTCATAAAACTGGTAAATAATTATTCTCCTGCCATTGCTGGTATTTGATCATAGAGAAATAGTTTAGGATGTAAAAGGTAGCTTTTGCTATTTGTAGAAATGTTAGGGATTAACCCTAGGAATTTGGAGAATAGATTAGACTCTTGATTGAGACATATGTAATCAATTAATGGGCCTAAGGGAGTGTTAAATAATTACATATGTAATATTTTAAAATTTTCAAAAGCATTCATTTAAAATTTTGACTCCTGTGAATAAAAGACACAAGTTATGCTTTTGCGTGTAATCTTTTTTTAAAAATTACTTTCCCCCATCCTCTGCTCATTTTTTTTTAAATTGGGGAATTGGGGGATGGGAACAGCGCTGGGGAATTGGGGGGAGGGGAACAGACAAGTTGCTGTACTTTTGCTCTTCAGTCTAATTGTGGAGGATGTTGTTTCACTGGCCCAAGTTGGCACCATCATCACGCTCTTCCTGGGAGAGGCAGATCAGTCGCTGGCTTCTGGACGGCTGCTCACGCTGGCTGCTGGCTACACATGGTAGCCCATGGCAACCCACTGCAGCAGGGGCTGCAGCCTACACCATCACTGGCGACTCACTGCAGCCCAGCTCCAGGTTGAGCTGTTGTTTAGCATCTTAGCTATAGAGGGCAATGTCACTGGCCCTCATATGTGGGATCTGAACCGGGGCACTCTGGCGTCCCAAGCCAGCTCTTAACCAATGTGCCACTTGGCCGGCCCCTTTTCTCATTTTTTTATAGACTAGTTTCAGATAAGAAATGTTTTTTTGGATTCTGCTAGAGATGACCTAATTTTTACTAATTGCTGTGGATTAAAAGTTGTGTTTGCTCAGAATGTCAGTGTTATTGTCATTATTCTTTGGTAGTTATAAAAAGTAGTTTTATACAAAGCTGCTATTCAAAAGAATATATTGGTAAAAGCTCATAAGTTGTTTTTTTTTTAAATTGGCCTTATTCCAGGAGAAAAAAACAATGCTAATGTACAACTTAATTTTGTGTGATTCCTTTTATTATTTATTTATTGACTTGTTGAAGGGTCTCTCTCTCTCTCTCTCTCTCTCTCTCTCTCTCTCTCTCTCTCATACACACACAGTATCAATTTTAAAGAACACCTTAAACATCTTTCTTCAAAATAGTTATCAATTTCCTAAGAGACGTAGCCACTGTTTTATACTTTTGTTTTCTTGTCCTTCACATTGAAATGAAAAGACTCAAACATCTGAGTCCAACTTATTTTAATTAAATTATCTTTAAAGTGTGTAGCTTTATTTTCAGCTTTTTAAAAATTCAACTATCCCTACAGGTTAGTTACCTTCTCCCAGCTTTTCATTGAAATCTCTCCACCCCCCCAGTTTCCCCATTAATTTGAGTTGGGAAGTATCACCTTAAAGCTTTATGAATAGAATTGGTGCTTTTTATTTCATTCTCCATGTATTATACATCACTAAAAAGAATGTAACACATGTAGCAGCTTATTTCATTTTCAAAGGTGGAACTGAAGAGCTTTTGAATAAAAATGTGAAAAGAAGCTAGTGTTCATTGCCTACGTGGCTTTTTAAAAAGGCTCATAAAAAACATTCCATTGTAGATTCCAAGTTCTCTTTAAACTTACCACCAACAGTAACTGCCTGCAGAGCCATGTGATCACCTTGGCAGCAGCCAGGCCTTTCAGGGATTTCATTACTGTGGTTTCCTCAAGCTTTTTACACACACTGATGAATATTTTTCTTGCAGTTATCGCTGTGATGATTTTGTGGTTAATGACACCAAGCTGGGACTGGTACAGAAAGTCAGAGAACATTTACAGAACTTGGAAAAGTAAGTAATAGGCCTTGGGAAAGAAAAGGGATGGATTGGGGTTGAGAGGTCTTTCAGAATTTTTGAATGGGATTTTTGTGAGTTCTATAACCTCATCATGTTTTTAGTGTGATTGAAATATTAACAAAATAAGTTTTAGGTTTGGATAGCTGAAACTGCACTCATAGTTATCGGTCATAGCTCAGCATTTATTTCTTTTAATATTTGTCATAAACCATATCCAGGGACTCCAGAGCCTGTTTTTTAGTTATAACTCACCAACTTGTAAGCTACACAATTTATTTGCAAGGGGAATTTTGGGAGTGCAAGGAAAGGGCAGAAGACAATATTAAATCATTATAGAGTTACCTTTGATACTTAGAAAATCCTTATCAAATTTATTATAAGGTCTTCTTAAGAGCACTAAAATGTGTGTGTAATTTTTAAGGGAAATGAGGTTTAATTATATTATTGTCCGCTTTGCATCTATGTGATAGCACAAGATCCTAGTTTCTTCTTTTCCTTTTTTGTTGGGGGCAGTATATATCATTTGAAATTACAAGAAGCTATGAAATGCTTTGTCATAAAGAAAGCAAAGTACTTATGTGAATAGCATTTCCTAGCTGTAGCCAAATAGGTCATTCAGGTAAAACTCAGTGGGCTCAGAATTCAAGCAGTTAGACAAGAAACCCAAATAGCAATGCCTTTGAAGCTACAGTGGATAGAAGCTTAGCCCTGGAATGACTGCTGACTCAAGTAAAATTTGTGTAAATCACTCCGTGTCATCAGGTGTCATCTAATTTATTTTGACAGTTGATATATAAAAGGTATTATGAGAGCATGCCAAAATAAACTTAAATGTAAAGCCAATAAAAATGTTTTAAAATTGTGTACCGAGAGGAAATAACCTAAGTTCTGTAAAGTGAAACACCATTTAGCTTTGGTTAACCAAAGTCTTTATGCATGTCTCTTTGACGAAATAGATTATAAAGCTAATAAGGGAAGAAGAGTTGATTTCTTTAAAATCTAAACTAATTAAAACACTTTTGGATTTAAGTACTTTTTGGCTTGTCATCTTTTTGCTCCACTGTTTTTCAAAGTGCTTCCTCCCTTCTTTTAATTTGAAGAAAGCAGCCTGAGCCCTATCTAGGATTAGAGACAAAGGTTCGGATACACAGATCCAAAATATTTAATTTGATCTGAAATTGTCACAATTCACTGTGAAGTAGATTCCTGCAGTAATTTATGTAACACCACTCTTTGGTGTGGTCATGTCATTGTGAAGATTTTACTACCTTGATTCTTTGTTATAGAAGTGGGTAGCTACTTGAATACTTTTTTCTGCCACTTAATCACTTTCTCTCAGAAACAACTACCATCTTAATCCCAAATAAATTCATCAGAACTAAGTCAAAGGGAAAAGACGACATTCAAGAACCTGCATGCAATTATGCAGTTATCAAATCTTTTATTTCCATTGACTATCAGGTAAATCATGTTACAGACCACCTTGTCTACACTTCTCCTTGGCCCCACTGAAAATCTACCTTGCAATCCTTTTCTTATGTTGAAAAACATTACTTAAGTTTATTTTTATGTTTTTCAAGCATAGGGTTTAATCTATAATGGAAGCTGCAATTTTTAAAAACTATAATTACATTTGTGTTTTACTCAACTTTAGACTGTTCTGCATATTCTATAGCACAGCACTGTGCAACAGAACTTTCTGAAGTGGAGGAAATGTTCTGTAATCTGCACTGTCCAATATGGTAGCCACCAGCCACATGTGGCTGTTGAGCACTTGAAAACTAGCTAGTGTGACCACTGAATTCTAAATTTTATTTCATTTTAATTTATTTAAATTTATCTAGCTACTTGTAGTGAGTGGCTACCATGTCAGGCAGCGTGGGTTTCAAAGGTTCTGCCATTTTGAGACTCACTGATGGTAAAATTTAATAGCTTCTATTTTAAAAAGTGAAATGCTTTATGTAGGTTAAAACTAAACGTTAACTATTAGGCATTGTCACTAAGTAGTATATGTACTATGATTATGATTTCACTTCATTACTTATAGAATTTGTAAGGGAATAGCTTAACATTGTAACGTATGGAACTGGTCTCTTCTTACCTTATAGTCACTGATACACGGAGAGGGACACAACACACAATTCTGAAGACATGTTTCCTAAGAGTATTTTTAGATTTGAAGCAATGGACTGTTATTAGATCTGATGCACCAACGACATAGTTCATCTAGAAATTCTGGAAAGAAAAGTAATTTAGAATAGCCTGGTACTTTTAGAAGATGGGAAAGAATTGGCGGACTTAAAAGTCTGTGTTGTTTAATGATAATTTTTACCTCCTTTAGATTCGTTTTCCTGATACATAATAATTTTAAAGTGACCCTTTGAAGATAGGAATTACTTTCTGGTAAATTTTATGCAAAATATCTCTTTCATCAAGAAAAATTTAAATAATTTAAAATCAGAATTTCTGTGCTAAGTAGGAATTGTTTTAGAATATCCTTTGTATCATAACCTGGTCAAATGAATTTATATATGCCTATAAATTCTACAAACTCAGATGATATCATAATCTATTATGACAAATGAACAAAACATACCTTTATCAAAACTGAGAAAGAAGTAGCACAGTATTTGACACAATGTTAAATCACAGAATAATCATGTCAGACCAAGGTTTCCCTTTCGTTATAAAGAACAGGTTTTTTCATTTTTGAAGCTTGACAATTGATTAGGCAGGTAGAGTAGTGGTGGAGAGGTGTTGTCCTACACACTTCGTTTACTTGGCCAGCTTTTCTTGGAAGTGCCTGGTAGTGGCTGCTTTCTGTCCCACCTTGCTGGAGGAGCAGTGGGGATTTCCAAGGGAAGTGGAACTCCTCAGTTACTTTAATACTTGTGGGCCTAACAGGTCATTTCCTGGCCTAAGCAGCCAGGCAGGGCTCCATACGCTAGACACTTAGTACCGCCAAGTTTATTCTTTAACCTCCTGTATGGTGTGTGTGTATTAATGGCTTTTTGACTGTCTGTTTGTGTTTTAATAGCTCAGCTTTCACAGCTGACAGGCATAGGAAAAGAAAACTTTTGGAAAACTCATCAATAAACAGCAAGTTATTAAAAGTAAATGTAAGTAATTAAAATTTATTCAAATATAAGAATTGGTTGACATCTAGTCACTGCTTTATTACAACTTGAACATTAATGTTGCCCTTTATGAACTTTGTAAGTGTATGCCTTGGATTTGGGATGTTTTACAAAATATTTGCCACTTGTACTGATGATTCTTGACGTGGCTAAATACCCTAGTGAGTCCATCTGTTAGTGCCTTTCTTCCATCAGGATTACTACTGTATTCCACTGCCTTAGCAAGCCTTTGTTTTTAACGCCTCCTCATGGACCTTATTACTACGTTTCTATAGGATCCGGAGATCCTTGCTTTCTTCTGTTATAGGCTCCTAGTGCAAATCTATGGGTCTGAAGTTTTGGTATTTATTTCTTAGGATTTCATTAACACAACCGCATCATAAAAGAATATGCCTCCTCCTTCTGGTAACCATTTGCTATCAGATGGATGAGCCATCCATGGATTGGCAAAATTTTTTTTTTAAATCACTAAATATTTTAAATACACTAATAATTTTGCTGTGTGTCTACCTCTCTGCTGTCATGCTAGCTATGTTTGGACACACACTTAAAGTGTTATGATTTTGTGGAAGAAAGCTAAAGTGCTCTCTGGCCATCTGAATTATAGGCAGAAATGCTTCGAGTTGGACTGGTAGATTCACTTTCCAGGTGTAGTCTTCACATGTCATTTGTAGAGTTAATCAGAAAACCAGGGCCGGCCGAGTGGCGCATTGGTTAAGAGTTGGCTTGGGACGCCAGCTCTGAGCAGCAGGGCCCCAGTTCAGATCCCACATGAGGGCTCATGGCGCTGCGCCCTCTACAGCTAAGATGATGAACAGCAGCTCGACTTGGAGCTGTGCTGCCGTGAGTCACTGGCAACGGCATAGGCTTCAGTGGGCAGGTCAACAGCTGGCGTGAGCTTTTGTGAGTTTTCATGAGCCGCTGTGAGCGGCTGTCCAATGGCCAGCGAGCGACTGCCTCATCCGAGAGGAGCACAATGATGATACCAACATGAGCCAGTGAAGTGACGTCCTCCACAACTAGACTGAAGAACAAAAGGACAGCAACTTGTCTGTTCCCCTTCCCCGATCCCCTAACGCTGTTCCCCTCCCCCAATTCCCCAATAAAATCTTTAAAAAAAAAAAAAGAGAAAACTAAGCCTTAGTCTTTAAGGGAAGTTCAGGTAGTTTTTTTAAGATTGATATCCCATTGCTAGGAAAATACATATTTGGTCATTTATGCATGGCTTAGAGTTAAAAGTTGAAAGACAGAAATATTATATATATATATATATACATATATATATGTATGTATGTATGTATATATTTGTAGTACTTTTAATAGAATCTTATAAAGGCATTAACTCTTAAACTTTAAGGATCTTCATGGGTTTTGCATTGTGTAATGCATGGTACTTATTAATGCTGATTTCCTCATAAACTTCCTTAAGATACTCCCATTTAGAACAATCCCAGGATCAGAAACAACCTTCTAAAAATATCCAGACACTTATACAGAGAGTAGAAAGAGAGTTTGAAATATTAATTGGACAGAAAAGGACCAATTCCAAATTGGCTTGATGCTAGAGTTTCAAATATAGGCCTTTGCTTTGGTGTTTGAAATAGCTGACCTTCTCTTGGCATTACTGATGGCCTCTTCTTGTCCCATGTTACAGGGAAGTACCACTGCCATTTGTGCCACAGGGCTTCGGAATTTGGGGAACACGTGTTTCATGAATGCCATTCTTCAGTCACTCAGGTAATGTTAAGTAAGAGCTTAAGTAGCTAATGTTAGTTTCTAGTAGAATGGTTGAGAGTGAAGGCTCTGGGATCTGATCCTGTCTCTGCCACGAACTCTAGTCCTATGGCTTGGGACAAGTTACCTCAGTTCCCTGTGCCTTAGTTTTCGCATCAGTAAAATTGGGGATAATAGTTCTACTCACAGAGTAGTTGGGATGATTAAATAATGTAATTTGTATAAAGTGCTTATTAGAGCAGTGCCTAGCAGGAAATAATTGTTAGCTGTTATTATTTATTTCTTATTGCTTCTTGAATAGGCTAGAGGAGACACCAGTACTCTTTTCTGTAAAAGACCAGATTAAATAAATATTTTTAATCTTTGCATGCCTCATACAGTCTCTCACAATATTCTTCTCCCCTCTACTCACCCATTCCTTTTTTTAAACAACTCTTTAAAAATGTAAAAGCTCATTGGCCAAGGGCCAGCTGTGGTGTGTGGGCTGTAGTTTGCGGATCCCTGGGCTACAGGGAACCTTGTTCAGAGAATTTATTTCAATCATTAGTTGAGTCTTAAGTGTGGTCATAAGATCAGATGAGAAGATCTTCAGAATGTAAGATAAGCAGTAAAAATATAATGGCCAACAAGGAGGACTTAAGTTATATAGAATAAATTATTTTGAAAGTTGTCTACTTTTAGATTTTAATGAGGCATCAAAAGCCAGAATAAATTATCTTCCCAAGGCCACCTTGCTAATAAGGAGCAGAAGCCATATTGATCTCTCCTTCAAGGTACTGTCAGTTTATCCAGTTTTGCTCAAAGAAGAAATTTTAGTCACTGTTGAATTCTCCTTGTTACTCTATATAGTGTATCCAAACAATATGGTTGGTTTTACAGTTTGTTTTCATTTGAGGAATATATTGAACACCTGGAAATGAGCACCCTGAGAACAAACAAATGGTGACAACCTATAGTTGGGGGGCGGGGAGAGAGGATTTTTGAACAGAAAGTTTGCTTTAACATCTTTGTTCATTCCTACAAAGCCATCTATTTTTACTGTGTTTTTTAAAAATAAAATAGAAAACTTAATAAAGAGATTACACTGAGTACAATTTAAATGAGAAATTGAAAGATCACAAAATTCATATGTAGGTTTCATAGAACTTTCTTTACAGTCCTAATAAATTTTTAAAAATAATAATTTTTTTCCTTCCTTTTAAAATAGTAACATTGAGCAGTTTTGCTGTTATTTCAAAGAACTGCCCGCTGTGGAGTTAAGGAATGGGAAGACAGCAGGAAGGCGAACATACCACACCAGAAGCCAAGGGGATAACAATGTGTGAGTTCTAAGAATGTGTCCTTTCTGGCTTTGATCTACAAAACAAATGACTCTTACTGGTGATTTCCATTGCATTGTGTGAGTTCATAGGCACATCCATTTTTAAAAACTCTTCTTCTAAAAATTCGGTTTATGTATCTAGCTGGTAATGTTCATAATTGTTGGAAATCTTTTATTTTTATTTATGTAATAGGATAAATTTAGCACTCTGTTTATTGAGTCTGTGAATTTGGACATTCTAAAAATTGACATCTGTATATGAAATGCAGTTCTAGGTGTAGACCAACATGAGTATCATTAGTCTTTGTGAATTGATTTGTCTGATAGTATTTGGTGAACCTGTCCTAGATAATAAAATTAATTTGTAGTCATCAGATTAATTACAGGGCAATACAGTCAATTTTTAATTGATATGGAGAGGGAAAAAATTGATGTGATTATCAAGAACAAATATGTATTCACATTCAGTGCAACCATGCTCTAACTGAGATTTAGAAGATCTAGCGTATTATCATGATTGTAAGGGGCACATTTTTTTCATATCTTAACGTTACTGAAATAGGGCTGTGATTTATAATGTCTATATATTGTAATGTAATGTTTTCCCTGCTTGCCCATCCCCTCTCCTACACACCCCATCCTCACACATTCCGAAAAGCCCTCTTATAATCTGACAGTGTTCTGCCTAGGTGGCTGAGGGCGAATAGAAGAGAACATACTAAAATAGTGTGCAATATAATTAGAGCCAGAATATGGGGGAACTTTAATGCCAGGCGTTGGAGCAGGGATGGAATGACATCACTAGAAGTAGTGTTTTGCGCGTTTACTTTGATAGCAGCATATAGGATGAGCTGGAAAATGCCTGCATTCAAGGAGGTTTCACACTTTATAGTAATTGAGTTGTAGGGCAGAGCAGTGAAATGAAGAGGGGGAAAAATATAAGTGCACAAAACTTCAGGGAAGAATTAGTAGTGCTTGATGCACTCATGTTATTTAGGGTTTAGTTACAAACTGTAGAAATTGCTTCTGGCCATCTTAGGCAGAAAAGGAATTTATTGAAAGTCTGTTGGTGTGCTAACCATTACTGGGTGGGTACAAAGTCAGATCTGAATTCTGGGCATCCAGTACCACAGCCATAGTCACCCAGCGAACATTCCCATGAGGACATCACTGCTTCCATTGCCCAGTGCAATGCCCGAGTCCCCACTGCCAGCACTGCTGGAGTTGGGTGCTGGGTGGATGCTGCTATTATTGCTGCCCCTGCATTCCGGGTGATGCTCTTTGCCATCAGAAAGGATTAGGCCCTGCCCCAGCTTCTTTGTGTTACTAACTCCTCCTTAAAGCAGGCAGAACCCAGGCCATATGCCCTAACCCTGGCTGCAAAGGGGAGCTGAGAAAGCAAATATCTGGCCTTTCCAGCTTCCATAGGAGGAGGCAGGCTCTGACTCTTACCGGGACTCTTAATTTCTCAAACATAGGAAGAGGGTTCAGGTACTAAGAAGTAAAAAATATGATTTGTATCCCAGGGACCTACTGGATAACAGGGGCTGGGATAGAAGATACTGAGGATTTTCCGAGATGTCAGTGAGGCATCTGTGAGCATGGTAGTTGTATTGACAGAACAGTTATTGAATTGAGGAGATATATCAGTTTAGCAACATACATAGAACACCAACATCACCAGTGACTTAAACATTCATCGTTTTTCTCATGTAAAAGTTGGAAGTTACCCATCTAAGGCTGTTTCGCAGTCATTGGGCTCCTTCTAGTTTTTTGTTCCACCAGCCCTAGGCTGGGGCTCTCAGCCACACAGTCCAAGATGGTGCTGGAGTACCACTGCTTCGTCCTCATCTCTGCTAGAAGGAAGAAGGAAGCGGTTAATGAGGACTGTTCCTTCTCTTTAAGGAAGTGTCTCCGAAGTTGGACACACTTAGTGTTTTATTCCAAGAGTTCATGTGCCAAGAAAAAAATTGGAAGTTCTATTCCTGTGGTAGAAGAGGAACACGGATATTGGGGGACAAAAGGGAGAGTACAGAGAGAAGGGTTGGTACACATTGAGTCTGAAGCGACAAGAGGACATCCAGTGGGAAATTCCTGTTGGAAACTGGAGAAACCGGAATAAAAGCAGTGATGAGAAAATCTGGATTTGGATTTTGAGAGTCACTGGTATAGAGATGAGTGTTGAAGCTGTGTGGCCAGATGAACTCTCTGAGGCAGACGTGAGCAGATGGCCACACTGAGCTGGGAAGTGCTCCTAGTGAGAGGCGAGAAGGAACAACGAAAGAGATGGAGAAAGAGTCTATTACTTGTTTCGAGTTTTTTAAAATGTACATTCTCAGGTAATTTGGTTTGTACCTTATCCATTACTGGCCATACTTTGGCTCCGAGTTCACCATGTGGTTAAAAAACTGGTTTTGTCAGTAATTACTGCTATTTACATGGGTTTTTGAGATGCTCTTACTTAACTGCTTTTCATTTTTTATTATGAATTTTATATAATTGGACATTATACATTGAACTAGTAGTCTCACTAAAGATAAGGCTGTCATCGTCCCTTCCTCTTTTCCAGGTCTTTGGTGGAAGAGTTTAGAAAGACACTCTGTGCTTTATGGCAAGGGAGCCAAACTGCATTTAGCCCAGAGTCCTTATTTTACGTTGTTTGGAAGATTATGCCGAATTTTAGGTAAGTGTTATTTAATAAGGATATTCAAAACCTTAATATTAGTCTTTGCATTGTTCCTGAAATGATTTCCAATGCAGTGGTGATACTCTAAATAATGAAGACCAGTTTTGCTTTTTTTTTTTTTTCCTTAAAGGAGAACAGAAGTTGGATATATCTGACTAGACAAATGTTTGTTTAAATAATAGATGTTAGAAATGTTTTTAACAAAGGGTAGGGTATTTTGATGTTATAAAAACAAAGCCCTTATAAATAACTTAATGCGCTCTAGGAAAACATAATGGACATTTCCGTGATACTTTCAAAATCTTATAAAGAATAATTACCATCATACATTGTCTTCTTATTTCAACTATTAAAAATCTAAATGTAATTTGTAGCAATCCATCATATTATATTCCCTGTTCTGGTCGGGGTTCTGAAGGTCTTAGGAGACTGTGGACAAGTCGATTGGGACCCACTTTCCAGAAGGTAGCTGGGCCCCATCCTAAGGAGGCTGCAGTCACTGTGTTCTGTGCTTGCTCTCTAGCCAGCCCTGCTGTCAGGATGCTACCTCTTCTCCTGGGTTGGTCACCCCTGTGGGGATTCAGGTGATAATCGCAGATTTGGGGCCCTGCAGGTGTTGGACAACAGCCTTTGCCACCTTCTGTTGATTGTATCCTTCTGAAGCAAGTCATGGTTCTTACTCGGCATGATTTTGGTACCTAATGTACATCCCCCACCCCACCTTTTTTTTTTTTAAACAAAGCCAGCATGCTCTAGTAAAACTTAGCATACATCATGCTCTATCATATGTATCATGCATACGTCATATCATAATAGTGGTTTAGAAATGTTGGCAGCATAAAGTTTAAAAGGTTAACAACTTCTAAGAACCGTAAGTTGTTGTGAGTGGCTGTTGTTATCCCTGATCTTTGTTTTGAAGGAAACTTCTTTTATATATATCATGTTATTTAAATCTCCTCTCAGGAGAGACCAATTTTGTAAGGATTTTAGGGTTTCTGGACTCTGCATAGGAAAAGTGGAAATGGCTGTTAAGTTACCACTAATCGTATTTGGATTTAATATAAAATTTCTAACATAATCACCTAGTTAGAGATTTAATCTGTGTGTTTTATTATTATATAAAAATGTATTTATTGAATGCCTACTATGTGCCTTGCACTTTAGGTCTTTTCTACCTGATCTTCATTAAAGAACACAACAAAATTCCTGTCAGGGTAGGAAGTGTTATCCACATTTTAAAGAAGATGAAACTGAGACAGAGGAGGAGCAACTTGTTCAATCTTACACCTCTAATAGATGATAGGACCAGTATTAGAACCTAGGCTTTTTGGGGGTTGGGTAATGGTAGATGCATTCACAGTAATGTGTTCACATGCCTGAGTGAGGCCCACCCACTAACTTTTTACTCTTCTGCTTTGTCTCCATGGTGACTGAGATCCCTCTTTCTTAACTGGGAATTTAGAAATATTATGAAGCTTTTATTCAATAGGGTTCTACTTTTCTTCTAAATCTGCTCATATCTCTGTCTTTTCTAGTTTCTGTAGACCAACTGTGAGCATGATTTAGTTTTGAGTTGCTCAATTTTACACATTCTAATATTCCTACCGATAAATGGAAAGAACTTTTGGAAAAGGTAACCAGGTTGAGGAATTTGGCATGGAGTTTCCAGAGGGATTCGTAATAATTGTGAACTCTTAAATTTCCTTAATGACTGATGAGAATAGGACACCTGTGTATTCTTGGCAAGGTTTTTTCTAGTTCTGTAATAATTGAGATTGTTCCCCATTTTCCTGTAATGAAAACATAATTTTCTCTTCGTTAGATCCAGACCTTGAGATTATATTATGGATAAGGCCCAGTGTGAGGCAAGGAGGTGGGGCTTTCTTATGACTGTTACTTCTGGTAGGTATGCAGGGTCTTATAACATGCCTCTGTGGAAGTGCAAGAATTCTTGAATTATGTTTCTATTACATTTATAATCCCAAAGTAAATTTTTTTAAACTTTAGAAAGCCCATTTTCTTAGATTAACATATGAGGAATTTGATACTTTGGAATGAAATATGAGGACTCCGAAATACAAACTTGCATGTAGAAGTAGGAACAACCTTCATTTATCAAATAAATACTCTAGATATACTCAACAGCTTTGGATATAGAAACCATCAAAGCTATTCTTTTGTCTTTTGCCACCCAAATCAAAAGCCAGCTACCCAGCAGGGAAACAGTTCTTGGAGTTGAACCTTCCCTGCATACATCTAGTAGTTCCCCTTATCTGTGGTTCGCTTTCTCTGGTTTCAGTTACCCAGTCAGCTGTGATCTGAAAATATTAAATAGAAGATTCCAGAAATGAACAATTTATAAGTTTTAAATTGCACACCATTCTGAGTAGCGTGATGAAATCTTACCCTGCCCCACTCTGTCCCGCTGGGACGTGAATCACCCCTTTGTCCAGCATCTCCACACTGTACATGCTCCCCACCTGTTAGTCACTTAGTAGCTGTCTCAGTTATCAGATCAACTGTGTGTTCAAGTGACCCTTGTTTTACCTAATAATGACCCAAAGCCATTCACACAACTTTAATTATGGCATGTTGTTATAACAGTTCTATTTTATTATTAGTTGTTGTTACTCTCTTACTGTGCGTAATGTATAGATTAAACTTGATCATCGGTAAGTGTGTATAGGAAAAAACATAGCATATATAGGGTTTGGTACTATTTGCAATCTCAGGCATTCACTGGGGGCCCTGGGTCGTCCCGCCTTTGGATAAAGGGGATGCTATAACTACTTTGCCATACTTTTATGGCTTCTCAGTATGCCATTTTTCTTGTGCTTTTCTATTTCATAAAAATACCTTAAAGTTTATTTTTTTCAATAGGCAAAATAGAAATGATTCAAAATTTCAAAAGTTAAAAAAAGGATATGCAATGAAAGTTTTTTCATTTACTCTGTTCCCCAGCAATTCATTTTGCTTTCTGGAAACATCATAGTTACCAGATTATTGTGTATCCTTTCAGTGATATTCCGTATGTGTGTGTATACGAGAGAGAGAGAGAGAGAGAGAGAGAGAGAGAGAGAGAGAGAGAG